TCACATTACAGTCTACATTTGGAAAAACATACTTTTTCAGACCTGATTATTTTTTACACCAAAATTCTGCTTGTGGTCAGAATCCGGTTTTTGTCTCTGGATTTTAGACTTTTTGGCCTTAAATATAAGGAAGACCAGTCTGAACTGCACACAGATGAATCTTTGCAAAAGGTAGCTAAGATGGATGTTTGAGTAAAAGGTGGCCAGGACACATAAAGGATGGTTTCAAAAAATACCCACCAAACCTCCAACTTTTACCATTCTGCCCATGCGCAAGTGAAATAGCCAGTGAAAATGATGTTTCTGACACAGCTAGGCCTCAGGCTAAAATAAAATCTCTTGGAAGCCGATTGATTTGGATGTATTCAAAAATAACACCCAAAACTAGTTTCCAACTCACATTTCAGGCGAAAATGACAAAATTCTTCAGGAATTAATGAGTTAATGTTAGATAACAAGTATGAAATTCACTAATTTAGGTGTCACATGTATTGATAATAATCAACACTTGTGTAATGAAGCCACTTCGGTGGCCTAGTTGTTAGAGCATCCGCCTCAGATGCAGAAGGTTGGCGGGTTTGACCATCTGGTCGAGTTATACCAAAGACTTATAAAAATGGTACAAACAGCTGCCTTGTTTGATGCTCAGCATTAAGAGGTTAGTCTTTGGACTAGTGGGCCTGGTGTCAGGATAATGTGACTGAGTGGGACATTATGCTACATGTCTGCAACATGATGTCCCAGTGCTAGACATCATCATAAACTACCACACTGCAGACATTGTAGCGATATGACTAAACAAATTTAAAGCTAAGGTAAAAATCATGTCACATCGCACCACTTATGTAATGTAGACAGATGATCAGAATGAATGTTGCTTTTCTAGAAATGTTTGCATCTTCATACTTTTTAGATGTAGATAACTAAATAAATGCAGGAATTTTAATAGTTTTTTGCATATTTTTCTTAATTCCTTATGTACATACCATACTCATGTTCATGCACCAATATGCATTATGTGGTAAGATGTATCAGATTACCCCCACCCTCATCAAATTCTTGTGCAGAGATTTTTTGGATGCCTAAGCTGTTCTTAGATTTTTTCCCTAATAATATTTTAAGAAGTGTTTTTGGCAGTGAAGAGTTTCAGTATGCTTTGCAACACTGGTCAGTGACAAATGTAAGAATGTTGGGGTCTACAGCCACAAAAATAGATCTGGCCAGATACTACTGATGCTTCTCTCCACCCCACCACCCCTAATACAGAGAAATAGTATAAACAATGCAAACTGTAATTCTAACAGTCCACAATAGATACTAGAATCGAGCTTTTTAAACTCAAATCTACATAAAAATAGGGGCCTTTTATTAAAAATGTTAAAAAAAAAAGCAAAAGGAAAAAAGGGAAAATTAAATCCCTTATTTAAAGAGACACTTTTTTTTTAAAAAATAAATATTTTATATAACAGGGATGTACCAAATGATAAATGTTGAGAAGGATGTGGCAAAAATACAGTATAAAAACTTTTTTTTTTTAAGGAAGGGTTTAGTTTTTTTGCCCTTTAAAAATGAAGTTTTGGTTTCAGTGAAAGTTCCTAAGGGTTTACAAACCCGCAAAGATTTATAAATTTTTTCTGCGTTGGGGATGCCCCAAAAAAAGGAAAAATTTTTGATTTTTTCCCAAACTTGCAATCAAAGCCTTACCATTAAGTTCGCATGTACTGATTCATGAATAATGTAAATTTTCAAATTTAAAAAAATTTTTTAAAACCCCAAAAAAAAAAGTAATTTGAAAACCCGGGGCCCCCAAAATTTGCTGTTAGTTATTGCAAAAAAAATAATTATTCAGAACCCGGGTTCTCACACAGGTTTCCCAACTGTAATTTATGAAAATTTCACAAACCCGCACATTAATTTTAAATTAAAACAAAAAGGTTTAACGAAGCACCCAAAAATTTTTTAAAAAAACTTAAGACCACTTGTCTAAAGCAGTAAACCCATACACTCCATTAACCCTTTCACAAAATTGTTTAATTTTTGGGTTTTAAATTTAAACATCTAAAATAATGATCAACATAAAATTTTGAAAAAATGTTTTATTCTAATGGCAAAAAAGGGAAAGGGATTAATTTAAAATTTTTTGTGGGTACCGGGGGTAAAAGTAACAAAGTTTAAACAGGAAAGAAACGACTGAAATTTAGAAAAATTTAAAAAAGAAAGGTGAAAATTTTTTGTTGGGTATACAGAAAATAATCTTGGCATTTAAATGTAATATATACAAAAACTATGGGAATTTAAAGGGAAATGGAAAAGTTGTTCCATGCTGCGGGGGCCCCATTACAACCAGTAAAAAAAAAATTAAAAACAAGGTTTAAAAATTTGGTGACCAAAATCCAGCTTGGCCCTTATTCTTTCATTGTCGGCCGTCCCTTTTTTTTATCCAAAAAAGCATTTAAAAACCCAAAATTGGGCCCTTTTACTATCTTGTCCACGTCTTTTCTGTGTCTAAATTGCATATAAAAACCCTATTTTGGGCCCCAAACTTTTAGGTTTGGGAATCCTTTTTTTTGGGTCTATAATGCATAAAAAACCAAATTGGGCCCTTTTTCCTTTTTATTGTCTCACGTCTTTTTTCCCGTGTCAATAATCATTAAAAAACCCAAATTTGGGCCCCTTTTTCTTTCATTTTCGGCAAAGTCCCTTTTGTGTGGTATAAATATTAAAAAACCCAAATTGGCCCCTTTTTCTTTCTTTTTCGGAAGGGCCCTTTTTTTTGTTTTACAAGCAAAATAAAACCATACTTGGCCCCTTTTCCCTTTCCCTTGTAGGCCCCTCCCTTTTTTTGTGTCTATAAACATAAAAAAAACCCAAATTGGCCCCCTTTTCTTTTCCCTTGTAGGGGGTCGGGACGTCTTTTTTTTTGTGTCTACAAGCCCTATAAAACCAAACTTTGGGCCCCTTTTTTCTTTCTTACGGCACTCTTTTTCTGTGTCCACAATGCATATAAAACCCCACTTTGGCCCCTTTTTCTTTTAGGGCGGCACGCTTTTTCTGTTTTACAATGCCTATAAAACCCATACTTGGGGCCCCTTTTTCTTTCATTGGCCGGGCCCTCCCTTTTTTGGGGGCTTAAAAGCAAATAAAACCTACTTGGCCCTTTTTTTTTCTTGTAGGCTGTCGGGACTCTTTTTTTTGGGTCACAATGCAAAATAAAAACCCTACTTGGGCCCCTTTTTTTTTCATTTTTCCGGGACGCTTTTCTTGTCTTAATGCATATTTAAAAACCCGACTTGGCCCTTATTTTTTTCCTGGGCGGCACGTCTTTTTCTGTGTCAAAAAAGCATAAAAACCCTACTTGGCCCTTATTCAATCATTGTCGGGACGTCTTTTCTGTGTCTAAAACTTTTAAAACCAAATTTTCTTTGGGGCCCTTATTCTTTCATTGTCGGCACGTCTTTTTCTGTGTCTACAATGCATATAAAACCATACTTGGCCCTTATTCTTTCATTGTCGGCACGTCTTTTTCTGTGTCTACAATGCATATAAAACCATACTTGGCCCTTATTCTTTCATTGTCGGCACGTCTTTTTCTGTGTCTATAATGCTTAAAACCAGACTTGGACCTTATTCTTTCATTGTCGGCACGTCTTTTTCTGTGTCTATGATGCATATAAAACCAAACTTGGCCCTTCTTTCATTATCGCCAAGTCTTTTTCTGTGCCTATAATGCATAAAAAGCCAAACTTGGCCCTTATTCTTTCATTGTCGGCACGTCTTTTTCTGTGTCTATAATGCATATAAAACCAGACTTGGCCTTTATTCTTTCATTGTCGGCACGTCTTTTTCTGTGTCTATAAGCATAAAAACCAGCTTTTGGGCCCCTTTTTCATTCCATTCGGCACGTCTTTTTCTGTGTCTATAATGCATAAAAAACCAGACTTGGCCCTTATCTTTTCATTGTCGGCACGTCTTTTTCTGTGTCTATAATGCATATAAAACCAAACTTGGCCCTTATTCTTTCATTGTCGGCACGTCTTTTTCTGTGTCTATAATGCATATAAAACCAGACTTGGCCCTTATTCTTTCATTGTCGGCACGTCTTTTTCTGTGTCTATAATGCATATAAAACCAGACTTGGCCCTTATTCTTTCATTGTCGGCACGTCTTTTTCTGTGTCTATATTGCATATAAAACCAAATTTGGCCCTTATTCTTTCATTGTCCGCACGTCTTTTCCTGTGTCTATAATGCATATAAAACCAAACTTGGCCCTTATTCTTTCATGTGTAAGAAAGTCTTTTTCTGTGTCTATAATGCATATAAAACCAAACTTGGCCCTTATTCTTTCATTGTCGGAAAGTCGTTTTCTGTGCCTATAATGCATATAAAACCAGACTTGACCCTTATTCTTTCATTGTTGGCACGCAAAAACACCCGGTGGTTAACTGCAGAGTCGGACATGAAAGCACCATATGACTGTTTTTACGAGGACGTTTGACACATCGATTACATTCCCCGTTGATTGTATTGAACCAACATTAACTCAAGAAGAGAAAAATCTCGATGCTATTAGTAAGGTTGCACTTTGTCCGTATAACAACTTTTGGGCGAAGACTAGAACTATCTTTTCAGAAACTATTAACTGGAAGAATCGTCATGGCATTATTTGAACATAATGCAAGAGTGCGTCATGAAGTTATAAGTTTCTTCCCCCCATCCAGGACATTTTCTATGTATGACAATTATACAAGTGAAAAAGAATATGTCATGTGATTATGATTTTTAACGTAGCTTTAACAATCTTTCAATCATATCGCTACGATGTCTGCAGTGTGGCAGTTTATAGTGATGTCTAGCACTGGGGCATCATGCCGCAGACATGTAGCATGATGTTTCACCCTGTCACATTATCCTGACACTGGGCCGACCAGTCCTAATACTAACTTCTTAACGCAGAGCGTCAAATAAGGCAGCTGTTAGTACCATTTTTATCTTTGGTATGGCTCGACGGGACTCGAACCCACGACCTCCCGCATTTGAGACGGACTCTCTAGCCATTAGGCCACCGGAGCTGTTCTGAAAGACAATAATTGGTTAGGTGTGTGTGTTTGTGTGTGTGTGCGTGTGTTTTATCCGAATGAAAGCAAATCTGTCGAGAAATGAACATTCAGAATGACATTACTAATAAAAAGTTTTGATCGAACCTCGATGTGCTACTTACTTGAAAAAAAAAACTATCGAACGGAACAACAACTGAAAGATGAAATAACCATGAGAACTGCTAAGCTCATGGGATATAAAAGCGTGTGTTTGGTGGTAGATTTTGTTTGAGGAATCACCGTAGTGAAATAGCAAAATCATGAGGTATAGAAGTCGCAGACCTTAATTAGCTACATAAAATACTCCATAATGATGTTACTTGGTCTCAACGTAGACGTTGTTTTGAAAACCGTCGTATCACGAGTCATGCAAATGGCCAAATCTGTTCATTGTTATTCACCAGAATGCATGGCCTTGACAATTGTTAAAGAAATCAAACATACAAGATAGAGAAACAAAAAAGTTTACTTTTTAATAATTCTCTTTTGCATTAAAATTCGAGTTTCATGAACTACTTGTCAAAAATATATAGTTATTCTCTCTTTTGTTTAATTATTCATTAATTTTACAATGTTTCTCGTATATATTGACTGAAGTTCGAGCTTTTTTTTAAAAAAAAAATAACCCAGTATTTATGATAAATAATACACATTTTATAATACATCGAAATAACAACTACAATGACTCGTGTTGATATTTATCCTTAATAATTCAATTTACAATCATGATTTCGCATATTTCCAATGATAAAAAATACGTATGCAGTTGGATTACTAAATGCGATTGTGATCTTCTTCTGTGAGATATGACCATACCTTGTTTTAGTGATATAGTATTATAACTTCTCCAAAACCACTTTTTCCAAAAGGTTTTTGGTTTTTAAAGTACAAACTCCGAATATTAAGGATTCGGTGATGTGATCAATAATATTAAGCACGTACGTAACCTCTGTAGATTTACAAAGCAGATAGAGAAAATGTTTTATTGACCTCCATCTTCCTTAAATAAATTGTAACCATCTATACTTTTACCGCCGAAGTTTCTTTCCCCTTTCGATTAAAATTTTTT